CCTCTACCTCCTACTTCTGCTTCCTCGACGCACCCTTTTCCTTTCCTTCTCTCTCTTCCGTCTTCCATTTCTCTTTCCGCCTCCTGTACTTCCCTCTTCCCCTGCCGCGACCTCCCGCCCCGTGCTCGCCGTCTCTTACTCTCCACTTTTCACTGGTCTCCTCGTTATACCGGGTGTCGCGTGGCGAATCGAAGCCATTCCCAACGAGTAGAGAGAGAGAGAGAGAGAGAGAGAGAGAGAGAGAGAGAGAGAGAGAGAAAGAGAGTGGCCGTTGTTTTTCGTCGTGGAGGTTTATTACATCGTCTTTGGCCACCTTCGATCTAGGTGGTCGGCGTTTTTAGTCGGGATGTTTTCAGTTCCTCCTCCGTTTCATCGCGGTGGGCTAATAGTAGAAACCAGGTTCTGGTCCAGGTTTCTGTGGGAATCCTGTGCGTTTGTGCCGCCGATGGGGGTGGGTGGACACATTCCGAGAAGCTCGAAGAAATCCTGAAAATCGCCGCTTTTGTCGCCCCTGACCGTAAGCCCAAGATCTGAAAAATCACCGCCTCGAGGCGAAAAAGTCCCCTCCCTCCCTCCCTCCCTCCCTCTCCTCTCTCTAATTTTTCGCAATTCTCGCTCAGGCTCGACCTTAACCTAAACTGACCACCGCGGAGCGAATCCGAAGCGAAAGGAACAGAGGAGAACGACCCTCCCTGTTTAAACGAGCGTGTAATATTTTTATAACTGTCGCACCAGGGAACAGACTCGATGGAGAAAGACTGCTCCGGTGGCGGTTAGGCTGTCGTGTGTCGCTCGACAGTTGCGTCGAGGCTGCCTCGGTTTATTGATCAGCGGATAGCTCGAACGGCGATCGAAGCTGCGGAACGGTGCGCTCGAACGGCTCGAATAGAGGGCGAAATCGATATTCGCCTCGCGGCGTCGGCTCGCGCGATCGATCCGAGCCACCCGGTATAGAGACGAGCAACGAACACCCAGGAGTAGAGAGTCCTAGTGCCTTGAGCCCTGTAATATTATACCGGCGGTCTCCCATGTGCTCCGGTTTGCGTTTCTGCGTGCGTGAGAGACGCCACCCGTGTGTTTCCATGCCGCCTCCTTAACGTTGTCTTCGTCTTCGTCTTCGTCTTCGTCTTCTTCTTCTTCTTCTTCTTCTTCCTTGTCGTCGTCGTCGTCGTGGACGTCGTCTTCGTCGCCCAGCTTCGTCTGTCGTCTCGTCGATCCTCTCTTGAATCCGAGTAATGTCTCGAACCGGCACTGTGCCGTTACTTTACCAGTTATGTTGGTTGTACGTTGGTGTAGTTCTCGAAATTTGATTTAATTAATTGATTAATAGATAGGACGTCACTCGCAAATAGATAGATGAAGAGATAAGATTGTTGAGTATTTGATTGCGAAGGTGTTCATTTTTCGAACATGATTGTTCTATTCTTGAGTTATTGAGCGATATATGTATAGTATATAAAATTTTATATAAAGTACGAACATGATTGTTTATTGTACTGTTCTCGAGTTATTGAGCGATATATGTATAGTATATAAAATTTTATATAAAGTACACTCAGTACATGGATGAAATTTAGTATAAAATTAATTTTTATATAAAATTTTGTATAAAGTATACTGTACACCTAATACATGGATGAAATTTAATATAAAATTAATTTTTATATAAAATTTTGTATAAAGTATACTATACATCCAGTACATGGATAAAATTTAATATAAAATTAATTTTTATATAAAATTTTATATAAAGTATATTGTACACCTAATACATGGATGAAATTTAATATAAAATTAATTTTTATATAAAATTTTGTATAAAGTATACTGTACACTCAGTACATGGATAAAATTTAATATAAAATTAATTTTTATATAAAATTTTGTATGATTTGTATACTGTACATCCAGTATATGGATGAAATTTAATATAAAATTAATTTTTATATAAAATTTTGTATAAAGTATACTGTACATCCAGTACAGTTGATCGCTTAGATCAGCTGTGCACTGTACATTTGAGTCGTGCAAACATCAGATGCATCTCGTCGTAACTCCTTCATAATTTATAATAATTCACAATAATCTTCATAACTCAAGAATTTAGGGCACATTAGCGAATAAATGTTTATCAGTAAATAATATTTTGCTCGGAATATTGTTTCAATTAGTCATGCTTAAATTATAAGTTAATTATAATTATAACGTTCCAAGCTTCCCCTTTCGAGAGGGTGAATTCTTTAACGTGTTTAATCGTTTAATTGGCTATATTTCCAAACAAACACTGAAATTCAACCCCCCAAAAAAACTGCTCGATGAAAATGAACGTAAACGAGAACGGCAATTGGTCGAGTGCTGGCCGATGATCTCATCGTTCAGATCTCGATTCACGATCGACCTATTGCACCTCGGTTGCAATCGTCATTGTCCAGGCGGAGAGTCGATTAGAGCCGCGGCAATTGACACCTCCACGGCAAAAAAAAAAAAAAAAAGTGGAGAATTACGGTGGAGATTTCTTCTTCTTGACCCGGCGGTTCTTCGGGGCCAGCGTGGTACGTACAATTTATCAGGCGTTGATGTCTCCCGGCGGCGATTCGCGCCTCCACGACCGCCGTTTAATGTAATTATCGAGCGCGTTCGTCGCTTACACGCGTAAGCGGATTAAATCCGCCGCTGCTCTCCGGTGGATCTCTCTCTCTCTCTCTCTCTCTCTCTCTCTCTCTCTTTCTCTCTCTTCGGCCACCTTTCTGTCTGATGTTACATACATATATACCTGTCAAACAAAACGGTGCGCGATCGAGGGAAATCGTGTCCTCTCTCTCTCTCTCTCTCTCTCTTCACGTAATAATCTCGATCAAACGTTTCCAGTGCGAGAAGATAAGGTTTTATTTGTTGCGTCGTGCAACGGGGGGAAATCGTTGACGTGCTTTCGAGTTGACGCCTTTTCTCATCGAACGTAGCTCCTGTCTCCGAGTCTCTCGCGGCACGCGGAACTTTGGATAAACGTGGTCGAGTGTCCTTCTTCCCGTCGGATACCTTTCTGTAGGACTTCATCTCTTGCGTGTCACGCACGTCGAGAACATTTGGCCCAACATTGCAATATTTTCTCAGTTTTAAGTATATTGACTAGTACAAGTTGCTACATTCCATAAACAGACAATAGAAGCTAGTCAACCATCCCAACGAGCTAGTTATCTCTCTCGTCAATAAATGAAGGGGAAATCAGAAGACTTAAAAGAACGAAACTATTAGACCTTCCTAATTATTAATCGTTGTATACGCAATACTGAAGGAACATCACTGGATGTGGACTTCATCCACGACATACCAGATTATATCAAATCTGCTGGTTGACCAAAAAAAGAGGCCAGTTGTAGATGTATTATTATTAAAAAAAAAAAAAAGTATATTGAAATACAACCCAGGATTGTACAAATAATAAATTCATTACTTCTCAATCATTTCTATCCAGCGATGCACCGATGAATTCAAAAAAGAAGACGAATTGTCGTGCACTTGGTTTGGTCACTCGTTATGGTCCGCGAACCAGATGCCAGCGCAAGAGGTTAATTAGTCGTCGAGCCGACGAAAAAAAAAAAAAATAAAAAAATTGCAAAAGAGAGGTACTTGGGAAAACCTGTCTGTCGCTCGCTGTTGCGACTCGTCTCGCGATTGCCGCGCGTTCGTCGAATCGAGGACGGTATTTTCCTTATCGCGTGAACGCTTTTGTCGATCGCGACGTGCCATTTCGCAGCGGCCTCTCCCCCTCTTCTTCTCTCTGTTCTTCGTCGTGTAGTTTTCCGTCAACCAGGAGGTTGGAGGGGGAGTGAATCGTTATCGACGAGTCACCTCGTGCCCGTTATCGTCGAATTCTGAATCGCGATTAGCTCACGGATCTTTCCCCTCGAGGTAATTCCACTTTCCGTGGAACCAGCGAATTCCAGTGTTGTACGCCGCTCTCGGTGCGTGCTCTCTTTTCGCCGGCGCTGGCAAAAGACAGAGAAACGTTTCTAGGGTGTATAAATATCAGCGGAGGCTATTCCTGTTAAACGTGCAAACTGCAATTGTGGGCAACGTGGTCATTTCCAGGCTTCGAATTCTTTCGTCTGTCGACGCGGCGCGATTCGAAAGGGGTTCGATTGCGAAACGTGTTTCTCTCCCTTTGTTTCTTTTTCCTTTCTTGGGGAAAAAGCTGGGTGGCAAGGGAAAAGGTTATGACAGAGGTTGGGAGACAGATCGGGAAAGATAAGAGGCGAGGTCCCGCAGGGAACCGCTATCGATGCCAACTTCGCCTCGCAACCCGCTAGAAAATTCCAACATTCTTCGGGCTTCCATATCCATTTCGAGTTTAGCGAGAATCGATATTTGGCGTGTGGCCTTCGTGGCCCGATCCAGGGTGTAGGTACGCATGAGGTTACACCCGCCGAGTTGCCGTACTCCGCGTGGATTTTGTTTCTTTCTGGTTTCTTTCTACGTTGCCTGCGATGTAAAATTTACAGGAGACGTTCGTTGACGTTACGAACAACCAACGACCAAACGCGTAGAATTTTCATCGGAGATATTATACTCCTTAAGCGTTTTCCTTTAGTTCGAGAATGTGCTGCGCTGTGTTTGATTATTTCTAGGCGATGACGAGTATACTCGACGAAGACACACGGTAAATGCACTTGCGCTGCAAGATCGAGTTAAATTGTAACGAAGTGATAAATTTTCTTGCTGATTTTCTTTGAAAAATGTTTGACTTTATTTGGTTTTATTTTTTCGTTTCGTTGCCTTGAAATATTCTCGAAAATGTACTAAAATTACAAATATATATATATATATATATCATTTCTTTTTACCAAAGTTTTACAACAAATGGCAAAAGCGAAATTTTTCCCCTACGTGACGAGTATATTCGGCATAAACGCTTAAAGTAAAAATGATAAACTATAAAATACATTAAAATACACGTATTTTATAAAAGATCATTTCAAATCTCTGAAAATACACTGTTTTACATCTGTAAAATATCTAACAGAAATTACAAATTAGTCATTTTAACCAGCTTAGCTCTAGTGTTAAGGTAGCTCACGCAGTTTATGCTTGTTAATATTGTACATTGACCGCCATCGGAGTTTTCGTTTCTATATTTAGAACAATTAAGTAAAGAAACTTCAAATATCATACGTAACTATCATAGATAATACTTTCGTTGTACAATAGACATTTACATTGTAGATACGTAATATTTTGTGAAAATTAAATATTCTGTCCCCGTAGACGTGTGTAAATTTCGCGAGGCGGTGAACGTGTTAATTCGTCGGTAGAGGGAAATTAGATTTGAATTCTGATATTCGACGCGAATATTTCGTGCGTGTGTACTTTGAAAGTTATGCTCGTGTGTCAACATACCCGCGTTAATCTATCAAATTGCATATACGAACGATTTTATTTTAACTAAACTTAGTTATCACAGTTTGCTTTTCGTTTTATCACGAGGAAATAAAATATTAGACGTAGACGTGATAACGATTGATCGAATTTCTGCTGGGCAAGAGATAGTCGAATTACTTACGTTTGAACATGAATTACCGATCACTCGTTAACTGGAAATGATTCTCTCAATACTTTGTGTTGAGAGATTTCTAATATCTGATTGTTCCCTAAAATTTCTCTTCTCTCATATTTTTTATTCCCAATTTTTATTCTAAATGTAAATAATAATTCGTGTGTTGAAACGTTGACACGATCGTTGCGATCTAGCTTCACATTCAAACTACCATTTGTCAAATTTTCGAATTAAAAACTTTCATAGCCAAAAAAA